GATGTAGTGCTCCGACACGACGATGGCCGACATGGACGAGATGTCGAAGCCGAACCTGTTTTTTTTTTTTTTTTTTTAATGTTAATTTCTGCCCGTTCTTTTCTTTTTTTTTCACCAATAGAGTACGGTTACTTACAGCATCCCTCCCAACGTCGCGATACACGCGATGAAGTAGGTGTTGTAGATCTGCGGGAGCTTCGCCATGGTGGGCAAGCTGGCGGGCGCAAAGGGCGCCTTTCCTTGTCGTCTGTGTGTGTTGTCCCCTTGTTTCTCGGGGTTGCCAGGCAAAGCAGCAAGAGGAAATGCACGGGAAACCTCGCCGAGTTTGGAGGAGGTGGGCAGCAACGGTTGCTCCTTATGTAGGTCTCGGGTTCGGAGTTGGGGAGGGGGACCCATTTAGGCCCCTCTTCCTCGGGTCCGCGCATGGGGTTTCATTATAGGTACCCCCATCTCGACGATAATGTGGGAACGTACGACAAGTTTGGAGACGTGCTGCTACTTGCTGCTGTTCGTCGATGTAACCGCCCCAGGGTCCCTGCCCGTCAGGCTGGGCTTTCTCCGCACAAACACACGCACATGCTCAGTTCGTGAGCCCGCCTAGGAGAAATCCGCCCCTGGCTTCGCGCTTGTCCATCATCACTCCCCTGGTCTCGGGCTCATGGCGCATCATCAGCCGAGAAGCGAAGAAGCTGACGGGGTGGCAGCGCAGCCGCAGGCCGTCTTACAGTTACACGCACCGGCGGCTATACGGTAGACAGCCAGGGCACCCGGCAGCCCCGAACCGGGGGAAGCTGGGGTTGGGGAAACAAGCTCACCTGCCAGCCAGGGCGTGGTTGGCGCAAGGGGGCCCGCCGGCCTCCCACCAATAATGGCACGACATTTCCCCGCACGGGGAGGCTCCGTCTATTTCGCTTTTGTTTTGGCGGACGGTCGGTGTTCTACCATGGGAGCATACTAGTACCTCGAGGGAAGGCAGACCGAAAAGGTGAAAAACAGCTGGATCTCTCTTCCCCTCTTTCTGGGAACACGCGACCGAGATTGGGGAAACGACCCTCCGCCTCTCCGCCGTTTGGGGCAGGCTCCATTCGATGTGGGGAAGAAATGACACGGTACGTCGCACCGGTAATCTGGCAATGAAAATAAGAAAGAGAAAAAAAAAACAAGAGTCGCTTCGTATGGGCAAATTACCATTATCTGAACTCTATATTGTTACAACCGTAGCATGCCTCGGCAGACATTCCTGAGCAGCTCGGCCGGAGCATGTACAGGTTCTACAAGTGTTAAGTCATCACGTGGGGACAACAGATGGCGGGTTGAGAAAGACGAGATCAGATGCGTCGGAGTTGACGTTTCCAGACATGTGGACGTTTAAAGCCGACTTGCGAGCCGTCGGATCAAACTGTGCTTTTTCTGCGACACGCTACAGCCGCATTAGCGACGGGCAGTTGGCGCCGCGCTGCAGTGGGTTCACACAGTGGCTGCGGGAAAGGCGTTGCCCGCACGGGCCGGAATTCTCAGCGTGTTTTTCAACGGCTCACGCCCACTGTGCCCCAAAGACCCGCTGTCCCCGCGTCGGGTTACATCAGATCCCCGCACCAAAAATTGCCGGCCCCCCTGCCCGCCCCAATCACCCCGATTTCTCCTCGAGCCGCGCCAATGGGAGAAAAGCGAGAAGGGCCGAAAACCAAAAGGCTGGGGTCTCGAAAAAGCAACTAGGTTGGCTCACCTTTTTAGAGAGCCCGTCAGACACCGCCGCCGTCTTGCAGCCACAGGAGACTCGGCCTGAGTTGGTTGTGCAGCATGCATCAGTGGAATTCTCCATCTTCTGTGTATTCGCCGTGTCCTTCTTCGCCTTGTCCAAATCATCGAGTCTCAACAGGTCCTCGGCTCACCAGCCGTCAGGTCGTGCTCCATTGCCACCCTGCCCTGCCATGCCCTGAGTCTGAAATGCTTGTGTCTGCTGCCGTCCCGCCGTAGCTAGCTCAGACACCTTCATCTCCCAGCAAAAGTCATGTGCCTCTCTTCCCCTGGCTCTCGTCATGTCAGCAGCATCTCGGTCCGCCGCCGGAAACGGGTCCAGGCCAGGCATGCTTGTTGGTTCTTTTGCGTGTGCCCTGCCTGCCCACTTGTCAACCTTTTGGCTTGGCATGGAATGTCCCTTGCTGCCAACGAGGAGAGGCCGTCATCATCCAAGCTTTTCTGTTTCTCTTTATTTTCCTTCGGGCCCACATTCCTAATGATTAGGCGTCTCCGGCAATCTCTCTTGCGCTGTCGAGTTGTCGGAACACAGGCTTTGTTGGTCCCAAAGCAGCAAAATTCGGAATGGACCCGACGACCTGTCAGCCAAGCCCAGAGCCCCTCCTCTTGTCCACCGCCCCGGCGATGCAGGACAACAGGGACAGACGGCCATCGCTTCCGAGAGGGTGTGGTGGGGATGGGCCATTGCCTCCCATGGCAGGATGGGCGGCTAAAGTCGATGTCTGCATGGAAGGAACGGCGGGACATGTATATTACCCAATCAGACGCGGATCCCATCGCGGTTGGGAAACATGCGTGGCCGCCACGCCTCTTGGCCAAAGGAATGGAACGCCTAGACCGCTAGCCAGTTCGCGACTCTGGATTCCACCATTCACCGTCCAGTACAGTCCCTCTTCCCGTTCCCCTGGGTCTCGGACTGTCGCCTCAGTCGGCTGGGCACGTTGAGATGAGGGTCGTATACAGTCCGCGGACCCTTCAGTGTCACCACTCCTCGTTCGCTAACGGCCAGTCGTCTTCACGTGAGGTTCCCCTGAAGCCCCTTTCCAGGTGCTACTTTCCTGCAGTTGGGTTTCATGCGTCCAATCTTGGTCATATCCGGCTGCCGTGCAATACTTATTTTGTTATATCCAATTGGGACGCATTGGCAGTCACGCTTCTCAGCGTGTCAGTCGATATCCGGCCGCTCAGTGGGCCAACTTCCTGG